ATTGTAACCCGGAGGAGCCGGGTTCGGGCAATCTGCACATGCGCAGAGCGATCTGCGCATGCGCAGATTGCCGGACAGCACGGCTCGCCGAGCCCTACTTATGGGCACCACTCTACTCACGAGCATTTTCAGGCTGGCAGATCTCTCATCCAAAGGGCTTTTAATACATTCTTGTGTAGTGTCCAAATCTGTTGTGTCATACATTTCTTGGGTGCTCTGAAGAGTCCTCTTCCTGGTTAGACCCCAAGGCATGCATGAAGCCGAGGTTGCTTACAGTGGCTTTCTGGGTGCCGAACATCCTGTCTCGGGTGCTTTGTGGAAACCTATCCACCACGTAAGTTTTGGTGTCAGTGGTGATTTCACTTGCAAAAATGTGGTCGAGTTCCTCAGAGTATAGGCAGGTGATGGGAGCATTACCAGAAGTTCTGTTCTGTTCCCTTGTTCTCAGGTACTTCCTTCCGCTGGAGCTCCTTTGCTTTGATTTAACACTGGGACCATTTCTGGGAGTGCCGCCTTGCCTTCATTTGCTGTGTCTTGTATGTGGCTGAATTCCAGTGATTCTCCTCCGGATGGGATTGAAAATGTAGCTCTCCAAAGAGGGCACTCAAGTCCAGGATTCTGCACATATCCACACAGAAACTTGGCAGAGAAGACACTACTTTAAAGGAGTATTATGTGAACTCACTATTACCTGATATAGAAACAGGGGCATCCTTGGTTGCATGCCACCATTTAAAGTGAGAGAGGACATCTGGTTAAAATGATCCCAGAGGAGTGGAGGGCACAAAGGTACAAGAGAAACTAGTCCAGGAGTAAAGCAATGTAGTGGGATAGTAGTTAAAGGACTGACAAAAAGACAATAGTTAAGAGTATATCCATCCAAACTTAAAGAAGGCAAAACTCCCTGCAAAGTGCAGTTACTCCAGTTCCAAGGATGATTATTACTGTGATCTAAAATGCCAAGTAATTCACTTTAAAAAAAAAATGATGTTTGTGGACATAAAGTACTGTAAAGTGAACTAACAAAAGTTATTTAAACTTACTCATATAGACAAGCCCTAAATGGGCTGTGAGGGTCTGCATCACCCTTTTGCAAATGGAGCCTAAAACTGCACTCTTTTAGTGCATTTCATATTCTTCAAGCACTTGAAAGTTTTGCTATTTTTATGTTTTGGTAAACAGGTTTAAACTTACCTATATATTCAGTCATTCTCTGCCTAAGAGTTTTTGTTTTGGGAGCAAAGTGGAGAATCTTGTCACGATCAGAGTCATCTTCACTCTCTGTATCACTGCATTCGTTTCTTTGTGAAACTGTCACAGGATTTGATGTGTCCAGTGGAATGTAGTCACCTTGAGTCCTGGCCAACTGACGTTTCCTACGAGCAACCTGGATATAAGCTGCATCAGGCATATTACCTGCAATGAAACAGAAAGAAACTGAAGGCAAGTGACTATGAAAAATTCAATGCTACTCCTCATGACAAAGTTAGTTACAGAATGCTTTTTCTACAAAGTATAGTAAAATTTCAGGAGTTTGGGCCTTTTTTCTACAATAATTTATGTTAATAGTAAATTGAAATAATTGCCCATGTTATTTCTACAATGTAAGAGGCACAACTTGAAAGACTACAAATACTAAGGACCATTTCCACATCCCTACCTCCCACATTAACTTTCCAGTAGTTTTCAAAGCCTCAAAACAAAAGGTCAAAGTAGACTTAAGTTGGAACAACTTAAATAAAAGTTTTAAGTTGTGCCATAAATGGAGCAGTACATTACAAGCATAAACTCTTTGTTTGTCCTAAGTTTCAAAAATATAATCAAGGCAAAATTATTGAAGTGTGCTTAAAGGCTGCAAATTTAATTTCTGTATTGCTCATATTTTAACTAGTAATCTAGATCATATATGAAATTTTAAAAAGGATTATTAATTCAGAATTAAAAAATAAAGTATTAATCTTCTGAACATGCATCCTTACTGTCCCATTTATTAAAACTAAAAATACAAGGTCAGAAAGGGCCATAATCTTGAGCCCATTATTTCTCCTCTATCCAAATATCTAGTCATGAATGATGTATAGTTGAGGGGTTTTGATTTGTTTAAACACGTGGTTATAAAATTAAAATTTTATATTTTTTATTTCATTACTATAAATATTATGGGATTGTCTAGCATATCATCATGTTGAAGTTTTATCCCAAAAGACAAGACTGACAACAGACCATACAAATCTTAAAAGTTTGAGGGCAAATTGATAGCACAATCACACCAATGTAACTCTGCAATAAAATGTCCTCAATACTGTGATTTCAGTTAATGTAAATAGACATTCGTGTATCAGCACCCAGTGTTTTAACAGCACTTTGAATATTCTTCAATAACTAAGACTATCTACAGTACATAGTCACAAACCTGCTGATAAACTCTTCCTTTTCAGTGAAGCATTAGATTGCGTTTCAGAGGCTGAACTATTGTAATCCTCACTGTCTGATGAGAAGTGTTCATCCTCTTCTTCTGTCTCATATGTATCCGCAATCTTGATTACTCTAGACTCTGATTGGAAGAGGTCTGCATTCAAGGAGAAAAAACAAAAACTAGGATTATCATCTCAGCTGCTAGAAATGTTGATAGCCAATTTTAAAAACGACAAACAGTCAAGCACTGACCATGCAAAGACTTATGTGCTTAATTTTACACAGAATAATCCCACTGACTTCAAAGATATAAGGTAATATTTTCCTTACAGCATAGAATTTAAGTACTTTTTAGGATACCTTTTATTACTGCATCATGAAAAATTCATGTATTTTTCATTTCACCTGAATTTAGGACAAATTGTTGATTTTAGGATATTCTTAACATGCTTTATATCTATCAAAAGGCCATTGCAGTATACAGGTTAGACCTCATTGGTCTGGCACTCTCATGACCTGACTGGTCCAGAATGAGGGATTTTGCCAGACACGGGGAGGTCAATTCCAGCCTCCCTTGTCAACTCCACTCCTGGCCCCAGCTGTTGACTCCTGGACTGGCCTCTGTTGTCTTGTCAGGCTTCTGGCCAATGGCCCATTTGGGCAGCTATCCCCGCAGCTGCTGCCATGCCCAGCCCAGGCTACCCAGAGCTAGGGCTACCCCACAGTTGCCGCTGGATCTGTCCAGGCTTCCCAAACCCAGAGCTGCCCCATGGCTAACCACCACCAGCCCCACTTCTAGCCAGTCCTTTCTGCTGCCTGAATCCTTGTTACTGGGACTCTCTGGTCAGGAACATGCTAGATCAAGGAGTCCCAGTTTTTAAAGTTCCTATCTATGGTACAAATAGCCTGTCAGTATTTGACATTTGTTACCACATCTTCATTATAATTCCATAAAATATATATTCAATAATAGTAATTTACTGAAGAAATTAGGGCTGTTAAGCAATTTAAAAAATTAATCACAATTAATCACTCAATCGCATGCACCTCCCATTTGAAACGCTGCCGTGGAGTTTCAACGGGGCAGCACTGCATGGAGCCTGGGATCAGGTAGAGTCCCCAGCTGACCCCAGACTCCATGCAGCGCTGCCCCTCTGAAGCACCGGGGTGGAGTTTCCAAGGGGCAGTGCAAGGCAGAGCTCAGGATCAGCTGGAGTGCCCAGCTGTCCCTGGGGTCTGCTGCCACAGGTAGCCCAGGATCAGCTGGGAGTCTCCTTTAAAATGCCACCTATTTAAAAAATAACACATCACTGATAGGGAGTAATTTAAGGATGCAATCCTGAGAATACTATGCAGTTATAATCTCCATTTACAATGGGAGTTTCAGGCTGTCATCTCTCAAGGCCACCCTAAGTGATCAATCCTACTCCTACCAAGTCACTGGGAGTTTGGCAGATGGCTTAAATAGATACAGAGTCAGACCTATGCTCGTTATGTGTTTAGGGCTGTATATTTAAAATTCAATGTTTTTCAGCCATAAACTCATTCTTGTAATGTATTAATACAAGACAATGCATCTGATAACACTTCTGTATCACCTTTCCTTTATGAAACAAAAAACAGGACTGTGTTGCACTTTAAAGACTAACAAGATGGTTTAATAGGTGATGAGCTTTCGTGGGCCAGACCCACTTCCTCAGATCAAATCGTGGAAGAAAATGGTCACAAGCAATTTAAAAAAATGAACACATATGAAAAGGACAAATCAAATTTTAGTCTCAAAATGTTTTACAAAGAACTAATTTAAATACCATACGTAGCTAAATATTTACCTTTGCTTCTTTCAGCTTCTCTGCCTGTGGAATGTGGGTTTTCCTTCTTTTGCAATCTAAACGTTATTGTGTTAAGTGATGGCTTCTTTATTTTAAAGAGTTCCTCATCCTCTATATGACAAAAAAATGAAAGTAAGTTGTAAACAAAACAAAAATATATTTACAAAGTCACATAACCACATTTGAAACGGGGATATAAAAATCCAGCCTGCCAGGCTGCTGGTTAACCACTTACCACTAAACATTCCCACTCAACCCCTGAATAGGGACTCAGGTAGCTATCCTGAGTTGCCATCCTATTATGACCACATTGCCGTTTTTAGAGCACTCATTTGAGCAGAGGTAGTGCATGTCAGTATACCTGCACTGGCTGTATATACAACCCATATACAGGTGCAAGTCCCAGCAGAGACACCAGAATTACTAAAGCGAAAACAGGTCCGAGTACCTGAGACTGTCTGAATGATTAAAGCCGAGGACTGGGCACTAGTCCTCCTGGAGAGCTCATCCAAGCCCTAACACTTCGGTTTGTCCACCCTGGAACGTTAAGGAGGATGAAGGCAAGGTGTAAATTCAAGTGCAATAGCTGGCCTTAGCCATTATTAGGTCAAAGCAAGAGGACCCAGGGACTCAATTATGATGACCAGCAATCCTGATTTTACAAGAGCCATCCTGATAGATTTCTGTCTAAGAAAAAGCCCTTACACCTCCCATCCCATCCTGATTTTGCAAACTTGGTATCTTTAGAAATCAACGAGGAGTCCTGTGGCACCTCAAAGGCTAACAGATTTATTTGGACATACATTTGCATGGGTCAGAAAACTGTCAGATACATGGATGAAGTGGATTTGACCCACAAAAGCTTATGCCCCAATTCATCTCTTAAGCCACATCTCCAGTTGCCAGAGGATCCACTCTCTGGCGAGCAATCCTCCAGGGACTGATTTAGTAGGTCTACTAAAGACTGCTAAATCAGAAATGGTGGGTGCCCTGTCTGCGCCAGTACAGGGGGAGAAACATCAACGCCAACTCCACAATTCACAAAGCTGGAGTTGTGTATCTTGCATCCATTTTCTCCGCCAGCGTAGCCCTGGGCTTAGTCTTTAAGGTGCCACAGCAGCGAGGACGTGCCCTCAGTGTTTGATTTAGCAGGTCTAGCGAAGGACCGCCAGAGCGTGGCTCCTCCTGCAAGTGAGGACATGGCCTGACCGGCTACCCCTCTGAAACGTGGTATCTAGTCACAACGGTGCGGGGGCCAACCTGGAGCCCATTCCCCCAGCGGTAATGTAACACAGGGATCCCTCCCTCAGCCCGCGGCGCACTTTACCGTCCCGCTCCTCCTCAGCACGGAAGCTCAGCAGCGTTTGCCCCCCTCTGGGGCTTGCCCCCCGTGACCGGCCTCGGGGCACTCCGCCATCCGCCTCCTCCACCTGATCCCTGATGTCCCCTACTGGCCCCTCTGCGGGGGGCTGCTGCTCAGCGGCGGGCTCGGCAGGGCCCCGCTCCTCATCCTCTTCGTCCCGGTCCCCTCCAGGCTCCGGCTCCGCCTCGGGCTCCCCTTCGCTGCTGCTGGACTCGGCTCGCTGGCGACGCCGGAAGTTCCGCGGGGGCCTCCTGAACATTCTATCCGGTAACGGGCACAGCGCGCGACAAGGCGCTCACCACCGATGGCGCGAGACTACTCCATACTTTCCTCCCCTCCCCCCCTTCCGCTCCAATGCGCACGCGCAGCATCACTCGTCGGTAAAGAGCGACGAAGAAATAGCGCTTGGGGAAAAAAAAATATGACCACGCCCCCTGGAGGATCGGGTGGGCGGAGCAGAGTAGGCCGCTCTCCAGTCAGCCAGGGGGAGGTGGATCCTCATGTGTTGGGGTGGAGGATTGGGCCGGGGGTTGCACCTGTGCGGAGGGGAGGCCTCCCGCGCGGGATGAAGCGAGGCGGGGGAATGGTGTGCGGGGAATGAGTCAGGGCTCATTTTCTCAGAGGGTGGCACAAAGAGGTTACATTTGTGAAGAATTTGCTACAGTGAAAATACCATAAAATAATGAGAACGTTACCAGATAATAAATCAATCCTGTATTCAGTGCAGAGCTACTCATTCGGCACTGTATGAAGCAGGTGTACAATGGAAAATAATCAAATGAAGTAATTTGACTAAAGACTATTATAATACATCCACATAAGGGGGCTGAATTAAGGGCTTGTCCATTCTTGAAAGTTAATTCTGATGTGTTTCTGTTTCAGAAATAACTTTTTTTAAAGCTGTACAGGATTGTTTAGCTGTCCCAGCTTACACTGCTTTCCTTTTGCATCATGTCTACACAGTGTGATGGCAGTGTTTCTTAAGCACAAAAATATGTACAGACAACCCTTATCTTAGTGCAATGTTTCACCACTATGTTATATGCATTCTGCTAGCTTAACAGTGCATTGTGTTAGGACTACCATACATCCGGTTTTTCCAGGATATTGTTTCTTTTTGAGCCTCTGACTAGAGGGATTTTTCAGACAACAGGAAATGGCTGGGGGGGTTGTACAGCCCAGGCTGCCACTCATAAAGATCCATGGTTGGTCCCCTTCCCAATTGGTCTTTTCCCTGCACTGGCAGCTGATTAACCCATTCCACTGCAGTCACATCTGCCAGATGCTGCTGGCCTTGGCTCTCATCCCTGCTCACAGGGACTTAGGGCTATTACTTCATCCAGGGCTTGCACCAGTCACCTGAAACTATGATGGAGAATGACACTGCTCCCTACCCCCAGTGAGTACCTGTGCTGCAGGTACCTGCTCCAGTTTCCCCAACTGGACCACCTCCTTTCAGCTTACCCCTACAGTATCCTCTTTTTTGGAACCTCAAATATGGTAACCCTATGCCAATGGTCCCCAACCTTTTGGGGCGGCCGGGTGCCCGGAGGTGGGGCCACGCATGCACCGTGCGCCTGGGGCGGCATCGCACATGCGCCCAGGGTGGGATCTGTGCATGCGCTGCGCGCCTGGCACCGCGCGCCCAGCACTGCACATGCAGCGTGCGCTCGGGGTGGGGGCCGCATATACACCAGACAGTAAGGGCACAAGAATGGCTCGGGCCAGCCATGGTCACTAGGTGGGCGCACATTAATGCCCCGGCTGGTGCCATGGCGCCCGCAGGCACCGCGTTGGGGACCACTGCCCTATGCTATAAGGTTCCTACTCAGGCTCTGAATCCAGGGGGGAACTAATAAATTCCTGGGATTCCTCTCCTTTCATCCCATCATACCACTAGCTTTTGTAAGACAGCTCCATTGTCAAACAATGGCTGTCAGGGAACATAGAAAAAATATATTGTGTGAAACACATGGAATTCTGGTAACTGCTGTTCAGATAGCCAAAAATATTTTGGCCTTGGAAAGGGTTCAGAAAAGGGCCACTAAAATGATTAGGGGTTTCAAATGGGTCACATATGAGGAGAGGTTAAAACGACTGAGACTTTTCAGTTTAGAAAAGAGGAGACTGAGGGGGGATATGATAGAGGTCTATAAAATCATGAGAGGTGTGGAGAGGGCCGATAAAGAAAAGTTATTTATTAGTTCCCTAAATAGAAGAACTAGAGGACATCAAATGAAATTAATGGGTAGCAGGTTTAAAACTAATAAAAAGGAAGTTCTTCACACAGCGTGTAGTTAACCTGTAGAACTCCTTGCCAGAGGAGGCTGTGAAGGCTAGGACTATAGTAGAGTTTAAAGAGAAGCTAGATAATTTCATGGAGGTTAGGTCCATAAAAGGCTATTAGCCAGGGGATAAAATGGTTTCCTTGGCATCTGTTTGTCAGAGGCTGGAGAGAGATGGCAGGAGACAAATTGCTTGATCATTGTCTTTGGTCCACCCTCTCTGGGGCACCTGGTGCTGGCCACTGTCAGCAGACAGGATACTGGGCTAGAAGGACCTTTGGTCTGACCCAGTACGGCCGTTCTTATGGGACTGGGCCATCTCCTCTCCCCAAAGGTGGTTCTTATTTCACCCTGGATTGATTCAATAATGAGTTATTTCAGAGAGTATTATGAAGACAACAATTCTGATGAGGAATTTCATAAGATCTTCTCAGTAACAGTAATCACACTTCTTTAAAGTTCAGTCATGAAATATGTAGCCACCAACTTTCAGTGCAATTGAAATAAAAATGTAGCCCTAAAATATATTATGGTTTTGTTCAAACTATTTTGCACACCTTTATACATCAGATTTATACTTAATTGTCAGCATGTAGCTGCGAACAGTCATTCTCAATCAGTAGTACATCAGCTCTGCATGCCTCCAAGGGTACATGTACTACTGACTGTTGTAAAACTAGGCAAATATCTCTAGATATCTCTTTAACAGCTGGATATTTGCCTAGTTTTACAACAGGCTACAAAAAGCACTAGCAAAGTCAGTAGAAACTAAAATTTCATACCTATAATGACGTGTTTATACAGCTCTCTATATACTATGTACTGAAATGTACACATAATATTTATATTCCAGTTGGTTTATTTTATTAATTTATTTTATTAATTATATGGAAAGTCATTAACAGTGTACTAACACTTTTGCATTTTTATGCCTAATTTTGTAAGCAAGTAAGGGAGGTGAAACTTGAAGTATGCAAAACAAAACAGACTCCTGAAAGTCTGGGAAGGTTGAGAGCCATTAGTCTAAAATGTTGTGAGGGGTGTACCTAAAGTAGTGCAGTACAGGAATAAGTAAGACCCACCAGGATTGGGCTGTAGTCTTCAGGAATTAATCTTTATTTACATATTAAGATTTATGATGTGTGAGAGATCTCCAGGAATACATCCAACCCAAACTGGCAACCCTAGAAGGCTACTATGTTAGATTCATGGGGGGATGGATAGGCAAAATTCTCTAGTTACTATAAACATAACTGTAACAACAGGTCAAGACTCACTACCATGGCACCTCCTGCAGATCACACTGGGAATTAGTTCTGTCCTCAGCAGGGCACTCCATTCTGGCCAGTGTCTCTCTCCATGCTCTCCCTGCGCTCTGCTTTGGACCCACTTCACTCCCAGGACCATAGGACACTGCCCACCACACTGGTTTCTCAACCCCTTTTTCCCCTAGGTATTATCAGCAGTCCTTAGTCTCACATCTGCCATCATGGCCAACTACAGTCTCACTTTAGTCCCTCAGCTCAGGGGCAAGCCACAGTCCATAAAGGTCACTTCTCGGTGTGACTAGGTGCAGTGTAAGGACCCCAGGCCCACCCACTACTCTAGGTCCCAGATCAGCGACCCTCTGGCAGCAGTCTTGTCCTGCTCTCCTTCTCTCTCCCACTCTACTGCCTTCTGTTCCCTGGGCTACTTCCCCTATGACCCTTGCACCTTCCTGGCCCCTGTATCAAGGCCTGCAGCCTGGCAGATATCAGTCTGGAGCTTTTCTCCTGCTCCCCTAAGCCTGCCTACCACTACTTCCTCTATCTAAGATGTATCCTACGGAACAAGTGCTGCATCCTCCCTAGTCATCTTCCAGCTGCTTACTGTGCTCCTGAGCCCTTATTCCTCAAAAAATGAGGTATACAGACTCTTGAACTAAAGGTTGTTTTTTTTTCCAACAAATGGCCCCGTCTACACAGGGCTTTTTATCACAAAAACCTTTTCCCCAAAAAGGACTGGAAGATATGCAAATGAGAGCGTGATATAGGCAAATAAGTGCTCAATTTGCATTTCCTCTTCCACAAAAATCCTGCAGTGTAAACATAACCTGAGTCTCAGGCATTGGTTCTATATTCAGGGGCATTTTTTGCCTTTATGCCTTGGCTCTGCACCTTAGGGCCTTGTTAGTCACTATGCTGTGGCACCCCACCCAGAGGCACCGTGAGCCTGTATAACCTATGATACTTTATGGGGAGTACCCAGTTACTGCCTCCCCTTAGCATGTTTATGCCTCCTGGAGTCGCTCCCCAACTTCACTGGTCTAGGTACATCCCATTGTCTCTTTACAAGTTAACAACAGATACACTCTAACTCCCTTTCCTCCTCTCCGCCCCGCCCTCCTCCCCATCTTTACGGAGTATTCAGACCCTACTCAACTGGATACTCACAGTATTCACTACTCCCACAGGAGCGGTACAGTTTATCAGTGTATCAGATATACCTTAGATCACAGTTTCATGTAGCACACTGTGATTATATAAGTTGATAGTTTAAAAAAAAAGTTTATTTAACAAAGCATAGAGATTTTAATGAGAGAAAGGAGACATATTGGAAGTAGATGGCTTCATATAAAATAAAATCATAATACACATTCCAGAACATAAACTTATTTATCTAGACGCTTTAAGCTGTTTTACAACAATATTCATCCGAATTCCTCCTAGCATTATAAAGCCAGGCTTGACTGTGATTTTTCCTTTAGGAGACAAGTCATGCTATTGGCTTGCCTCTTTGGTGGAAGATATTATGTATCTCCCCGTATTACCTAATATACCATCCTGATGTTTTGGTTTTAGTCATGAACAGGGCACACCCCTGTGGATTTATTTCCTTATAGATATTCTCTCTTGTAGATTTTGCAATCTTACATCAGGTATCTGGCTTGCTGTGCAAACAGACATCCTTTGCAAGATATACAGTGCACAATACACACGTGACCAGAGACGACAGCCCTCTGCTACTTGGCTGTCTGAAAGAAATATGTCCCAGGTATATCCCTAGTGACATGTCTTACTTAACTCCTTTAAGAACATATTTTTCAGTTTAGATATATAATTCCTGAAATATTACCTTTACATGCAACAGTGACTGTTGGTAGGGATCTCCCATGTCACCATTTGGTGAATTATTAAGGCTACAATTTAGTCACAGTATTCAAAGATTCTGTGACTTTACTGGACCTCCCTGACTTCTGCTCCAGCTGTCAGCAAATGAAGTCAGGCCTAGAGGTGGGGACTGTATGCCCCTACCCTGTTGCAATTAGATGGATGGCTGGAACCAGGATCCTGGAGCCCCTGCCCTGTAGTTTGCTGGGGACTGCAGCCAAACTGGGCTCTCCTCTCCCGCAGCTGCTGCCAGCTCTGGAGTGGGAGCTGTGCAACCCCTGTGGCTGTGCTCCCTCTACCCCTGCTGTGACCCAACCCATGTCTTTTGTTGGGGACTGCATTGTGGGCCGCATGTCCCCCTCGTGCGTCCCATGGCTGTACCCCACCCTTGGCTGCAGCTGTGCCCATGCATCCTTGTCCTGCAGCTGTGCCCAGCTCCAGAGCAGAGGTAGAGCACCCTCTATGGTTGCAACGCACCACAACCTACAGCTTTTTTTGGGAGGCTGCGCTATAGCCTGGGCCGTACAACCCATTCCTGAGGGCTGATGTGACAAAATCTTAGCCTTAATTATGATGCATATTTCCTACCTGAGAGATCCTCGTGAAACTCTACGCCCCCGTCCTGTGCCGTCTGCCAACTGGCACCAAGTTCCTGGGGTACGTACCTTGGCTTGGCACCCAGGGCCCTGTAAGCCCATATCTCAGGCCTTGGTCCCACACCTGCCCATATCTTGAGCCTGGGACATACACCCTGGGGTGCTGTTAGGCCCTTCTATGCCTTGGTCCCACACCCAGCTGCTGTCGGCCTGAATCAGGGCTGGCCCCGAGCCCAGAGGGGCTGCTCTCACTTAGTCCCTGGGCCCCCTCTGGGCTCATCCCTAGGGCCCCGGTCGCACACCCAGGAGCCCCGCTGCTGGCCCGTGTCCGCGGGCAGCTCCTGCCCCCTCCCCCCCCTGCCGCAGCTCGCCTTCTTCCTGCGGGCCAGGCCCCCGCCTCCGCCGCCATGTTGTCGGGCTGAAGCCGCCGCAGGAGGCAGAGGGAGCGAGCGAGCGAGCGCCGAGCAGAGCAACAGGTACCGCGCTGCCCGGCTGCGGCCTGAGCCGTAAGGGGCCGAGGGAGCAGAGCCGGCTGGGTGAGCGGCCTCGGCCCCCGCGGGGGGACGGCGGGGTCTGTGCGGAGGGTGGGAATGGGGCGCTCTTGCTGGGGGGCCGAGGAAGCAAGGTCCGGGGGCACCGGGTCGTGAGTGTGTTGGGGGTCTGGGGAGAGAGGATTTGGGGGGGCTTGCAGGGAGAGAGGATTTGGGGGGGT